TAAATGGAGACATATCAATAAACTGGGCCATAAAAAGCAGCTATTTCAGATGGGATTGAATCTAGTCCTGACTGAGCTTTCTGATTTGATTTCTTCTTGATCATACATCCTCTAAAAGCATACATCTAATATCAAATAAGAATGTCTCGATCCAATGTAACAGTGTTTCCCCAACTTGCATTTCTCACAACCCTTCTGCATGATTTTTGGCCAATCTGTGAACTACTTGTGGTTTTTATTTCATCTTTTCTTAGATTAACTCAAATTTCAAATATCCATTTACTCTCCATGAATGTTCTTTTATATATGGACTAGTTATTTTTTCCAGTACTAAGAACTGAACCAGGACCACTAAGTTGCTCAAGCTGGGTTTAAACTTAGAAATTCTCCTGCCTCTGCCTCCCACAGTGCTGAGATTACAGCCCTTGTACCACCATACCATACTACCAAACCCAGCTAAATAGATAATATTTGTTTATTCTTTTATTTTTGTGTGCTAGAAATTGCACCCAGGGTTTTCACATTGAGCTATATCTCTGCCCCCCCCCCCCACCTTTTAAAATTTCGAGACAGGCTAGATTGTCCAGACTGGCTTGAATCTGTCATCCTCCTGCCTTAGCCTCTCAGAGTGCCAGGATTCCAAGCATACGCTGCCACGCCTGACTAAACACATAACTCTGAAACAATAAAAATATCCATCCAGGTGCCCTCTGAAGTGACTCACCTCTTTTTCAAGTGGCACGAAGGCCATCATTTGGAGAACGGGGTGTGTGGAACATTCCTTCATGCTTTTCTCCTTCTCCCTCTTGGATTCCTTTGATCTCACAAAGATTCATACACCTGGGAAAAGAAACAAGAACCCTTAGTTATCAGGCAGAGACGTTTTAAAAATTTTTACACAACTCACCCCATTCTCCCTCCTCCCTACCCTGGCCTCGTTTTTAAGACCTCAGTGCGCCTGAGTTCATGACAAAGACCCCTCCAAGGCTGACTGCCTCGACCCAGCCAGCTCTCTCCATCTATTCATGGACAGTATCCATAACACTGGAGAGTGAATTTGAAGATAAACTCCCTGTGCATTCCCACACAGAGCACAGATAGGCAGTCATGAATGGGGGTTGTGTGCATGAATTCCCATGGAACAAGATTAGCTGTGGCTCAGGCCTGGGAGGATTCTTAGTGACCTGCTGAAAATTTAGTAGGAGCAGAGCCAAAAGGATTTTCAAGATGCAACTTATCTTCTTTCTTACAAAGGCAGTGACGGAGGCCCAGAGGAATCAAGTGACATATTTAGGATGCCACTTAGTAGGTGACAGCATTTGAGGCTTGGCATACCAACTCACACCTTTCCTGAATTTATCTCACCATCTGAGAAGCCTCAGGAAGGAAAGTCTCATGCCAGGAGTCATGCAGGAGTCATGCAGATGCCAGCATTAGAAATAGCTTCTTTCAAAGAAAGGAACAGGCTCAGACCTGAGATCCCTGATTGAGTATCCTAGAAATGACAGAAATGTGTATGTGTCACATTACCCTGGACAAGACCACTCAGGACCTGAAGCCACCCTTGCTACAGAAGGGATTTCTGGCTGCAAGGTATCGATTACCTGAGCCTTTCCAGGCCTGCTCCGGGTATTCCACTCCAGAAATTAAACCCAGGACCATCCCCGGGTTGATTTCTCATGGCCATGATGAATGGCTTAAAAACATCCTGATAATTCCAGAACCAGAGGAGCCCAGGCTAAGTGCCAAGGGGAAATTCTGAAACTGCATTTTGATCTGTTCCTCCACTGTGCGTGTAGGCTGAAAAGTTTCAGGAAAATCTTAGTGACTCCTCACAAATCCTACACCTCTGTTGCCTTAAGTATAGTTTGCAAATGTCAAGATACAACTGAGGATGCAAAGAGGAATGGGAAAGGGGCTATGTCCCAGAGGACATCAGAACAGATGGAGTCACAACCAACACATAGCAGAGGCTCCATATGATGGGAACTCAAGGGCGGCCCAGGCCATGAAGGTTTCCTAACCTTCAAAGGAGCATACCTTTCAGAATATCTAGAAGACTCCTCTTCTGCTCTACCTGGTTCTTGTGGTTTGCTCTCAGGTCTGTTGTACCTCTTGCTGGTGAGTCATTGGAGGGCACAAGCCCTGTGTTATTTACCTCTGTGTCCCGAGAGTGCAGTGGACAGCAAGTGAGCCTCTGTAAACCCTTGGATGGGGACATACGGTCAGAAACCTTGGGAAAAACAGGGTTTGTAAAAAAAAAAAAAAAAAAAAAAAAAAACATAGGATGCAAACCAGGCAGCTGGAGCATCTCAGCAGCTTGGCAGAGACTCTGTACTGGGGCGTGAAGGACAGATGAGGTTTCCTGGGAGCTGTTGTGGCACTGCCTGAGATGCGACTAGTAGTGACCATTGTCCCTACATGAATGCAGCCCCTTCCCTGGCCACCCTTTCCCAGAGGAGACCCGTTTTCAGTGAGTCTAGCCATTTCAGATTCAAACTTGCTGTCTGTGTCCTCTAGGGTTAGTTGTTACCTAGTTAGCCGTCAGGTAACTTCTAGCTGTCACTGTGTTTAAAAAATACCTGAAATGGCAGGAAAGGATGTTTCTCATCAGAGCTTTCTGAGAAAGCCCCACAGAGCTCCTGACAGAGACCTAGCTTCTGGAAAAAGAGACATACCTCTGAATGTGACCTCGCAAGTCCTGCAGCGCTGCAGGGACAGTGCCTTCACTCGTCCCTGAGTCCTCCTTACTTTTCTTTAGCATGTATTTTCTTACATATGATATAAATGAGAAGTGATTAAAATTACCCCTTGCCTAGTCTGCTCGGCTGCACTGTAAATGCCCCCAGAGGCAGAGATTTCCCTTTGGCGAGTGCTACAGTACACTAGACTCTTCGTAGGTGCTTGATGAATGGGTGAAAGGGGTGTGAATGGGCATAGTCAATGAATGAATGCTTTCGCTCTCCCCAGATCTGATCCCAGGTAAAGGAAAAGGCAACTATGCTAAGAAAAGTGGGACTTCGGCTTAGAGGGTCACTGTTATTTCTGCCAGCAAGCCTTCTGCAGTTGCTTGCTGTTGGGAGACTGACCCGATTTGTGCCCACTGTGGGCGTCACCACCATGCATAGCATACATCCACACACGCGCTAGGAGAAAAGGCAGTACCTGGAAAGCAGCTCACCGTTCAAGTGGGTGCACATTTTCTTCATCACAGGCGGTAGCCGGGATGCTGTCAGGAGACCTGGGTTCACAGTTCAGGTGCGTCCCTTCCTAAGGGCATGCATTCTCCCTGCCTGGTCCCAGGCAAGAACCCGTCGTCACTGTGTGCCAGGCACTGAGCCTGGTGACCTCTGCAACCCCCTCCCAGGCTGACAGTGTGGGTGGGTTCCCAGCCTGTCTCCAAGCCAGCCTCTGGTTCTCCCCAGGAAGGGATCCAACAACGCTGTGAGTTTCGTTAGGGAGGATTGCGTAGCACCCTCCCCTCCGAACCCAAATCCCCAGTAAGTCAGGAAGATGTATGTGTTTTAAAACATTGGGAGGTCTGCTTTGGATCAGCCTGAGCCTCGGCTTCCCCAAGCAGAGAGGCAGCTCCTCAGGCGTGGAGCTCGCCCTGCTCCCTTCACTTGGCCTCTGTGGCCGTTGGTTTTTAAATCATAAAAAGCCGCTCTGTATACAGTTTACTCTGTTGCAAGAAGGCAGCGGAACATAGATATTAAAAAGGGGAGAGGAGAGAGGGAGGGGAGACAGAGAGAGAGGAGAGGAAGAAGCAGCCGTTAATCCCGCCAGGCTTCTGGGCACTGGAGTAGTTGTGGATGACAAAAGTTAATTAGAAACATGAGCACTTTAACCGAAAACACTTGTGACAATTGGAAGGGCAGCTTCTCTGCTTGGAGAAATTTTCCTAGGGAATCATTGCAGGAGAAAGTAGCTGCTGCTAGGTAAGTCGTGTCACTGTGACTTTGTAGATGCTGCGGGGGTTCATGGGGGACGTCCCGTCTGCTCTGCTCTTGGGGAATGGGGCGTGGTGGGCACCGGGCTCTGGGGCTGTGCCTGTCTCCTCTTCCTGCCACTCTGTCTTGCAGTCATCCCTCGGGAAACAGAACTGATGGTTGCAGTGCTGCTGCCCAGCAGCCACAGTTTCCAGATCTGTGACACTGGTGGCCACCTTGGTGGCTGTGGCTGGGAGCCCCTCTTCCCAGAATAACACTGGCTTTTATTTGGAAATATTTCCAGGCATTTCAGAGAAAAGAATCTGGCCAGGGAAACACACAGAGTGCCAAGGGGAAGCCTTGACTTTCAGATAACCTATGGGTTTTCTGGGTTTTTTTGCCTTGGGGAAGCCATGTGCATAGATCACTCTCTTAAGCCAAAATAAAGTACTATCGTTTTTTAAGTCCAGCCTGAATAATTTTTGCAAATCTTTGAAAGTGTCAATGAAGAAATAACTTTCATGCTTTGGTAGAATTTAGCAACTTTTATGGGTAATTATTTTTCTCTAAAGATTTTTTGTCTTTTCTCTTCCCTTTTTCTTTCTTGTCTGTTTAATTTTAATGTCTCTGCCACATTGTTTTCTTAAAAGTTGGATAGTACTTGATTCTGTTACATCATCTGGAAATGGAATTGTGGGTTAAATAATTCAAAAGCAATGGCTGTTTCCTACACCTTGCTTACACCATGCTGGTTGGGTGAGTGGCACGGTTGTGGTTTGCTTTCGATTTGAATTCTGGACTGTGCTCTGTGCCTGTCACTGTTAAGACTGGTGTGCATTTGGGTAGCACATGCCATCAAAATGGGATGGTGCTGGGAGCAGGAGATACAAACCGTGCCTGCTGCAGAGTGGGAGGAAGCAGAATTATGTTTGAGATCCCTAAAGTAGGCAATGGGCCTGTAGGGCATTTGGGTTGGGAGCGATTGGCTGTATAGCTAGACCTGCCTTTCCTCCTCTCCAAATCAGGGCAGCGAATGTAATTCGGGTCCCCTTCCTTTCTCTATCTCTGCAGAATCACTGACAAGCTCAGCCTCCTCCCACCCCGGCATGAGCGAAAATGTACCTCCCTCCTTGGACATCACCAGCACCCCTGCACCCACTAACTGCGCTGCGTCCTCCGCCATCCCCCAGCCCGCCACAGCCGCCTCCAAGCCCTGGCGCAGCAAGTCACTCAGTGTCAAACACAGCGCCACCTCTGCTATGCTCTCCGTCAAGCCTCCAGGGCCCGAGGCCCCCAGACCCACGGCCGAAGCCATGAAGCCAGCTCCCAACAATCAGAAGTCCATGCTGGAAAAGCTAAAACTATTCAACAGCAAAGGAGGCTCCAAGGCAGGAGAGGGCCCTGGGTCCCGAGATGCGAGCTGTGAGCGACTTGAGATCCTGCCCAGCTTCGAGGAGAACGAGGAGCTGGAAACCGCGGGCCGCACACTGGCCACCACAGGCCCTGCGTCCAGCAGCCCCAAGATTGCACTCAAGGGCATCGCCCAACGGACTTTCAGCCGGGCTCTAACCAACAAGAAGAGTTCCCCTAAAGGCAATGAGAAAGAGAAGGAAAAACAGCAGCGTGAGAAAGAGAAGGAGAAAGGCAAGGACCTCACCAAGAGAGCTTCGGTGACTGAGAGACCGGACCTCAAGGAGGAGCCCAAGGAAGAACCCAGTGGCACAGCTGTGACTGAGATGCCAAAAAAGTCCTCCAAGATCGCCAGCTTCATCCCCAAAGGAGGGAAGCTGAGCAGCACCAAAAAGGAGCCCACTGCCTCTCCTCACAGTGGGATACCGAAACCGGGGATGAAGGGTATGCCTGGGAAGTCCCCAAGTGCCCCTGCACCTCCCAAGGACGGGGAGCGGAGCCGGAATGGGAAGCCGAGCTCGGGGTTCCCATCCCAGAAGCCCCAGCTCGATGGCCGCCACTCCAGTTCCTCCTCCAGCCTGGCATCCTCCGAGGGAAAAGCCTCGGCTGGGACCACTCTGAATCATAGCATTAGCAGCCAGACCGTGAGTGGGTCTGTCGGGAGCACCCAGACCATAGGAAGCAATACTGTCAGTGTTCAGCTACCTCAGCCTCAGCAGCAATACAGCCATCCCAACACTGCCACGGTTGCACCCTTCCTGTACAGGTAGGAGAGCCCTGCCACCTTGCTGGGCCCTGGGAGGGTAGAATGCAGCCGGCCCTCTGGGAGCACAGCAGCACACAGCTAAGGTGCCAGGTGACTCACTCCTAGTCCAGACATCTGCAGTGAGTGTGAGCAGACAGCTTTGCAGCATGGTCAGGTTCACCACGGGTGAGACGTGTGCTGACCCAGGCTGAGCAGGAGTTCCCCAGCTGTGGGACCGGGGTATCACGGAAGCAGCAGAAGCATGAAGGCCTGCAGAACCCGCATTGTATTGGGAAGATGAGCCTGCTATTGTTTTTCTGTTCCCCATGCAGCTACTCTCCCCATCTCTCTGACGCTGCATCCTTAGGACCCCAGGACCCCCATGGAGCCAGATGTTGCTTGCTTCATTAGTTCTGGCTCCTCGGCCCACATTACGTCCCTTGGCTGGGTGAGCACGCCTGGGTCCAGGTCTCCATAATGCACGCAGCAGAGCTCTCTGGGCAGGTGCAGGCTCTGGGCACTGGTCCCGAGCAAGCCCACGGCTTTTGCTCTCAGTGCTCAGTCAATGTGCAGATATGCAGTGCATTTGGCCACAGTACACAGGTGGATCACAGCTAATAACCTGTACACAACAGAAGCGGGCTAATTATTGGATGTGACACTCCCTGCATGTATTCTGCAACTCCTCCCCTAAATGTACATGTGACTAAACACGTACATTTCTGTGTGCACATGGTGTGGATATGCACGGCCAGTTGGCCAGTTATCCATAAGTATAGACACAAGTACACATTCCCATATCAAATGCAAATGCACATACGTATACATGCATCACACACTAGCCCAGGGATTTACACTCACACTGACTCGTTCAGCTTTCTGTGTCTGTATGTTTCCCAAAGAACCAAGTGGTCCCTCTTTCCCTGTCTGAGTTGTGTTCTATGAGCTCTATCCCACTTCCTATTCAGAGTAAAACCAGCCAGCGACTACCCAGTGAAGGAATTTCAGACTTCACCTGGTTCCTCCTTCATTTTCTCTTAGCATCCTCTTCAGTGAAGGTCACACAGCTCTTTTTAATTGAGAGATGGTCATCATGTTATTAAATCAAGTCATCAGCTCAGCTAACAGTGCCAGACCAGTACCGAGGCTTACACAATGGCTCCACTTGTTTATATGCACAACTTTTAATACCAATGTTCTCTGAAGCGTGGAAACAACTGAATTGCTCCCCCACGAAATTTTTACAATTCCAGTAGCATTAATAGTCTCCTGGTACTCTGTATTCAAATTGCCATGCACAGAGCCATGATTTGCATTTTTAAAATTAAAATACGTGACAGCCTTTGATCACCAACAATCCTCTCCTTCCCTTTCTGTTTTGACTGCAATCACTTAAAAGATGGTAAAACATTTCACCTTATGATTCTTATGATTACTCTTATGATTACTCTTAGTCTTATGATTACTCATTCAGGCTTTTCTATCAGAGGAAACACTTGTGATACAACCATGTGCCTGGGGAGCAGGAGGAGAAAGGGAAGCTTCCAGGATGGACACCTGCAAGCTCCCTCTTACTGTCCATGCTCACCCTGAATGACATCCTCTCTAGATGAGCCAGAGGAGAGAGGCTGGGGAGAAGAGTGCTTGGACAGGAGCAGGATGCCTGAGCTAAAGGCTCTCCATGTCTTACCTAACATAATTCTCCCCACCACCCCCGAATCCGTGAGCTAGCTTACTTTTAAAATCTCTATTTTACAGGTACGCAAACTGAAGCTTAAACTAATTAAATCACTTGCTTCAAGCCACAGAGCTGTAATAGAGGAGCTCGTGTTTAACCGGAATCTGTCTGACTAGAGGCACCGGGCTGTGAGTCACAGTGTTGTCCTGACTCTAAATCACCTTGTCTCTCTGAGTTCATTGTCTTCGAGTGAGATTACAGTGGATTAGGGGATTTTAAAAGAGGCTTACACTTCCTCTCTAAAATTTGCTCTCCCGTGTTCATGGCTCCCTGTATAACTTCCAGGGCTTCCCCTCCAAACCCCTCTGTGTTAAAATGTTCTGAGAAAGAGAGGGTCATTTCTAAAAGCCGCTCCAGATTAATTATATGTATCAACTCAGATGTGTCTGTCATTCGACAATGAGCTTTTTGACTTTTGTCCCTGGAGGGCAGTTGCTGTTATTTCCATCATGCACATGAGAGCTGGAGAGCTCCAAGAGGTGATGTGACTTACTTTGCATGACTCCTGAGTCACGGACCTTGGACCTGACGCTGCATGTTCACACCACAAGTCTAATGTCCTTTCTAGTACCTGGCATCTTCCTAGACTGACGTATTTTCCACTTATCAATCAGTACCCCTTCCTCAAACACCTACTCTGTACTCACTTGAGCTGACTTGGCCTCCAAAGAGCTCTCAACCTAGCTGAGGAGGAAAGAGGTGGGGTCAGATCACACTGTGATCAGTAGGTGCCCGGAGAAAAAAGCATGAGGAGGTGAAGGCTGGCAGTCGGGGAGGTTCCAGGCTGAGACACTGGATCCAGGTCCAAAGATGTAATACAAGTGCAGGGCTGGCTGGGCAATGAAAGAAGGGACTGCCACGTTTGTCACCAGCAGGTGGCACCCGACAAGAGGCAAGTGCCTGGTTTCTTCAGGCTTCCTTCTTTTGACTTCTTTTAGGCAGAACTTCAGATAATTGTCCAATTTTTAAATGGTAAATATCCCAAATTATAACTGGCGAGCCAGCTTTAAAACTTTAAAATACTGTGCACACCAGTAAGAATACATCCATGGGCTCCTTCCATTCCTGGATGCCATCTGCAACCTCTGGGCTAGAAGCAGGGTACCTGTTTGAAGGCATTTATGCTGGTTGGAGTCTGTCTGTGGGGTCCAGTGGGAAAGTGGAATTATGAGAATATTTATCCTTCATATTGATGACAGAAAAATTGGGAAGGCATGACCTCTGGAGAGCAAAGGAGGGAAAATTGGTGGGTGGCTTAAAGTTTATCTTTAAGTAGGGTATAATCCCATGGCCCACCTATGTACTTGTCAAACAGTTTCTTGGGGGTTAGGGGTGTTTGAGCACAGGTTTAGCCTGAGGCCCTGGGTTCATTCCCTAGCACTGAAAAAATAAAATTCACTTTCTTCTTCCCAGGTAGTGAAACCTCATTGAATCAGTCTAGGGTGCTAATGAAGATGTAATGCTACATGCAAGCTATGCGTCTGAGCATAATTACATCTTGTGTGTTATGTCCAAATAGTTGGGGCAAGAAAACATCACAAGAAGCCATTGCCTGAATTTGCTTGACAAATAAGGGCATAAGGAAGGCTTGGGAAAGTACAGATTTCAGTCAAGTGTTGAAATACTGATCGGTGAGATCTTTCACGTCAGAAGATCTGGGTTATGAATCAGAGAGCAGAGGGCAAACACAGCTGCTTGGCACCCACTCCCGACTGGGTTTGTAGTCACCTTCCCGGGAGTGCCTCTTGGTCGGAGGACTGCGGGGGCTGAGGCTGTCTTCATGCTTCACTTGCCGGCAATGCTGGTTGCCTAAGAGTTGTGTTTTGCACAGGCTAAATTATCCAAAGCACCCAGTACCCTGCAATACAGGTCTGCTGAGAGGTGGCTTCCTGAAGGAGTTCAGCAGAGCGTTCCCTAGGCAGGGATTGCAGAGCCTCCTTCCCCTGGGTGAAGCCTGTTTCGTCTTTTCCAGTTCAGAGGCTCTCTGTTCTTAGAACCTTCTCTGCCTGTGGCTAATATGTTATTAAGCACTGTGTGCGCAGAGCTTCTCACTGAAGGAGAATGGTGAGCACTGTGGCCACACCACAGTGGCCCACATGTGCTAGGTGCCTCTTGTGATACGTGTATGCTTTGGTTTGTGTGCCAAGGTCCCAGACAGACACCGAGGGGAATGTCACTGCCGAGTCCACCCCCACGGGTGTGAGCGTGGAGCCTGGCCACTACAACAAGAGTGGGCAGCCTGCCCTGGAGGAGCGCACAGGTGAGTGTGGAGCTTTGGGGATTCCGGACATGGGCGACCAGACACCTCCCCGCCCCAAGCAGCCAATGTTGGGATGGTGTGGCCTGGCTGCTGCACGATACCTGAGCTGAACACTTGGGTCTTTCTGTCCTGGGTGTCTCCCCTTTGTCTCCACCTACTCTCTCTCTCCTGGCTCTTCCCTGGGATCGTAAATGCATCTTTAACCTGTTGGCAAATTGGATGTTTAAGACAGATTCAGATTCACTCATTTCTGGACCTGGGGCTACTCTGACACTTTGAATTTTCACATTTACTCTTCAGCTCACCAAGATTTAGAACTCTAAAATACTGGATTCCCCCACCCCATTCCTTCTAGAAGCACAGATTTAAAGTGTGTTTATGGCATTTTCTATTCATTCAAAAGATGATTGTGGCATGCTTTTTCAATGCAAACAAAAAAAAAAGCCACAAAAAGCCCCTATATTTTATTTAACTATAACCACAATAATGGTGATTATAGGGATATTATCCTATATAAAAACATGAAATCCCTACCTGGCAGGATGCCACATCCCTACAGCCCTAGCATTCTCAGAAGATGAGACAGGAGGATCACAGATTCAAGCCTAAGTTGGGAAGCTTTGTGATTTAGTAAGACTCTGTCTCAAAAATTTAAAAAAAGCCACGGATATAACTCAGAGGGAAGGCCCTGGGTTCAATCCCCAGTCCTGCAAAAAGCAAAACATCAAATCTAGCTGTCATATTGCTAATTCTACAGATTGTCTGATGTTATACTGAAACATTCTCAAAGGAGAAACCTCAGACCTGAAGTAGAATCTGTGTGTGTGCGTGTGTGTACGTTATACATTAAACCCAGATCACGCATGCTTGGCCCATGCTCTACAACTGAGCTGTACCTCAAGCCTGTGCGTTAGAATTCATCTAGAGTGTTCCACGCAGCCCTGCTCTGCCTCCTTCGTGCCCCTGGCTCTGCACCCTGTGCTCTGGCAGCTTCCAATCAGCAAGGGCAGTGGTAAACCATGTCATTAGCAGGGGCCCTGTCATACCTCTCCTATCTTACCACTTCGGGGGCTTGGGTAGGAATTGAATCTACGTTTAAGATTCATTTATTAGACTAAATGCCCATGACCACACCACTTTAATAGCCACACTGCAGCTAGAATTGATTGCCACCCAGTGACTGGCTCTGGGTATTCATCCTGGAGGGTCTGAGGGCATTGATTTGTTTCCCTTCGAGTTCCCCTGGCCTGGCACAGTAATGGTGCCGAGATAACTCAAGCCATTTGTAAGAGATCTATCAGAATGGTTCAGGGCCCCACATTTGGGGATGATTTTACATGTCCTTCTAGTCTCAGCTGGGGCTGCCTCGCATACGGACTTTTGACCAGCACAGGAAGATGCAGGGCACAGAAATCAGATTACTGCTCGGGTCTCCGCACATATTCCGGGTCGTGTTCTCCCCAGGCACTTTAAGAGCTCCAGGCAGGAGTCTGTCGTGTGTCCTAGAGCAGCATAGGTGCCTCTGGGACACTGAGTCTCAGCAGAACCCATATTTGAGGAGCAAAACCAGCATCCAGGGAACATTCCAGATAATGCTCAGATTCACAGCGATGACTGCAGCCTGTGGTCTTCCCCTGATTTCTCTATTTCTTCCTATGTCACCTGTACTTTGTTGTTTGCTTTGGCCTTGTTTTGTTTTTTTATTATTATTATTATTTTTTAAAGCCAGTCAAATTTAGCAGTGGGGGGGGGGTGGTATACCAACGTTAGTGACACTAATGTTAATAAGTTCTGATAACCCACTGCCATCGGACCAGCCGGCCTTGTTTCGTTTTGTTGAGCTGTAGGCCATGAGCAGGGCGTGCCTGGGCGTGTGCTGTTTGGTATTCTGTCTAGTGAGAATCCTTTCAGTCAGAGCGACTCATCTTTTTGCTCAAGCAGGAAAGAGGGTATGTATGACTAGACTGTGGTTTTTTTATAAGGACCCTGGATAGCACAAGATAAAATGCCCACAGTCCTTCCTTTGAAGTGGGAGTGGATGGTGGTATACTTAGAGATGGGCATTTGGGAGGCTATTAGATCAGCGGTTCAGTTCTTCCCCCCCTTGGTGGGCTTTTGCATCATGTATGGTCGTGTATTAGGGGCTCAAAGGGCATCTTTTTTCTTTTTTTATCTTTTTAGACAGGGTCTTACTATGCAGGGCTCGAGCTCACTTTGTAGCCTTGGCTGGTCTCGAACTTGCAATGATCCCCCTGCCTCAGCCTTCCGAAGGCTAGGATTACAGGCATGCACCTCCACACTTAGCTTGCGAAGTGTCTCTTGATTATAGTGTTAGAAGAAACCATTGGCACCTACTCGTCATCTGGTCCACAAATCCTTTGTAAACCTTTCGATGTATCATCTTTCAGCCTTTACTTGTACATCTCTTGTGACAAAGTTACTCCTCTCTAGGGCAGCTTCTCCATTTTTTTGATTGTAGTTGTTGGCTCTAACAAATAATAGAGTTCTTTATTCTTACATTTCCAGTCACTGACTCTTATTTAGCCTGCTGCAATCCACAGACACAAGTTCTGCCCTTTTCCAGGGAGTAATATGTCCTTCAAGCGTTCCTGTTCCACATAAATATCCTGGGTCCCTTCTGTTTCTCCTTTGGAATACAGTGATGCCCTCTACGTTGGCCAAAGTGATTGAAAATGCAGTGCTTTCTTGACCACAGCCAGGCGCTGGAGGGAGGGCTTTCCTTGGCAAATTCATGTTTGCTGCAGGTAGACAGGGCCTAAGTTACTCAGTTTGTTAAGACCTCTAAAGGAGTTGAAAGGGCCCTCCTGTTTCCCCGGAGCTTGGCCATGATTTTGCTTTTCTTGTCTTAGTTACTGTTTCTCATTGCTGAGAGAAAACTATCCAACAGCTCACATTAAAGGAGGAAAGGTTGTTTGGCTTACAGTTTGTAAAGGTTCGGTCCATAGTTAGCTGGCTCCAAGGCAGGGTGGCATGGCAGAGGGGTATCATAGAGGAAAAATCCATAGCAAAGCAGAAAGCAGCAAACAACCAAAAAGCAAATAACATCACTTTCTGTCCCTTGTATTTTATGGAGGCTGCCTACTCTTAGGGCAGGTGACACTCACACCCTCGATCCCAGCATTCACATCCTTGATCCTAGTGTCCCACATCCTAGATTCAGCCACCACCACAAAGCCCCACCTGTGACTGCAGGAGGTTTAGGGGGACATCTAGGTACAAGCCGTAATACTCAGGCTTGGGGTTGGTGGGAATCTTACATTCCAGCCCTTGTGTGAAGGGGCATAGTTGGCTGTGGAGGACGTGGACTCCTGAGTATACCAGGTGGACCCCTGCCTGTGTTTCTACATCACCAAGGAACCTAGGCTAATGTGGGGCTGTGACGGAAGGAAACATTTCCCGGTGGGACCCCAAGAGAGAAACGGAACACACATACTAAGCTTTCGCTTCTGTGTCTCATGGGAACCCTTCTGGGGATGCATTTTATTCCCACTCTACAGATGAAATTAGGACAGGAATCCTCCTCCAAGTCTAGTGGCTACTGGGTGACAGTGCCACAGTTCACATCTTCATGGGAATGCAAAGCCTATAGCTTTCTTTCAAGCTCCACACTGTCCAGACCTGTGCTAGGCAATCCGTAAATTCTTTCATTGTTGCTGTGTTGTTTTGCAACGTTGGTTGTGGAACCCCAGGACCCCACACATGCCGAGCACAGCCTCTAATCACCAAACTACATCCTCAGCCCAGATCTTTAGTTTCCCCAGGCAGCTCCATCATTAGTCATGACATGGATAAGTAAATATACTTTTGCCTGTGATTAATGGAGGTAATCTGAACACCAATGCTTACCCTTAGCTTTCTAATAAATGTCCACTGCGGGGTCTGGCATTGTCTAAGGGTTAGTACCTTTTCAGCAGATAAAATATAGCCAAATCAGTGGGAAATTGCTGGCCTGAAAGGTAGGTGTCAGTTACATTCCTCCAAAGCCATGAGGGAGAAGATGAAATAAGACTTTGATCACTGCTTTTGTTAGAAAATCCATAGGTGTGTATATGTAGTATGCACACTTTTTGTGGGAGTACAGTTTGGGCAGTGTTCAGATAAAATGCCTCCCAAATCACCCTTGGTTCAAAGCAGGGTAGAAAATGAAAAGCAGTTGTTCTTTCAAGATTAGAGAGTTTGCCACAGTAAGTGTCCTCCATCATAATTGAGTGGCTGTCGTTTGGTCTACCCCGCCAGACTCCAGGCACTGGTGGGCTGAACACAACCCAGTGAAGTCATTCCCTATCCCAAAGAGAAGTTTAATACCATGACAGCTCTCAGATGCTCAAGGCCCTCTAGCTGGCAGCTGTTGGAAGTTCCACCTGGTGTCTACTGTACAGCCACTGCGCTCATGTACTATGTTTTGGAAGGAAATTTCTTTACAAATTATCGCTCAGCACTTGAAAAGTCATGAGCTTTTCAAAACCATTAATTGTGGTTCCTCGGTCTGCTCAGCCCTCCCTAAAATTACTCAGAGGAGGGGAAGCTTTGATGCCTTTAATCATTATTATAGTGATTTCCCTTCTCCCCTTCCCTTGAGAGGCCAAGAGAAGCAGAGTCACCAAAAACCCCAAAGCGAGACGGTGCAGGGAGACACGTGGCTCTTGCTGGTGGGTGGCCTGGTCCCCGTGGTACATTAGCACCAGTCCAAACGCTGCTCGGCCGAGTGCCTGATGGGAGATTTTACCCAGAGAGTGGAAGGCTGTGGTCCTGATAGAGAAAGCCCCACCCTTTCCCTGATTGCTTTTGCTCCCCAGTGCTGCGGGCGTGTACTGAGAACCTGCAGTGGGTATCATGGAGAGGGCCTCGCAGGCTCAGCCCCTGGGGTCCCTGCTGCTGTTCTTTGAGCTGGGTGCTGTTACCATGGTTATTTTAGGAATGTGGAGTCAGAAGGAGGCCAACACCCTGCCCACAACTTAACCACAGTCAGTCCCCACTGACTCCAATTCTAAGTGACGTAATGGGTCCTACAAGGAGGAGCACACTGATCTCCCTCTTTAGAATTATGGGTGATTCACGAGCTCAGGTCTTTTAGTCACCACAAGCTCTTTTTGTAAATGAGGGTACGTCAGCAATAGGTGTGAAAACAGCATGCCACATGCACATTAACATGGGCAGAGCAAAACCCCCTGAGTGGGCAGACATAGCCTGTACTCATCTTCGGAGGAGAGAGTAGGAAAATCTGCATCTTAGCCTCGGCGCTTTGCTAGACCTCAGCCCTCCGCCGGAGTGACCCTGAGTGAGAACTCTTTGAATTTAATCCCTCCCTTTCTCTTAGGTATCCATTCAGCCTTTCACTGATTCTCACAGATTCTCAAATCCTCCCAGAGCATCTACCTCAAACCAGAAATTTGACCAAGTGGAGGTCATGGTTGTGATTCCCTGTTGCTTTGGTGACCCTCACGGTCCATCACTGGGCTAAAGTCACCTTCTCCCCTCTTGTTTCCAGGGGAAGATCCTGAGGCTCGACGGCTGCGGACTGTGAAGAACATCGCTGATCTGCGGCAGAACTTGGAAGAGACCATGTCCAGTTTACGGGGAACTCAGGTTACACACAGGTATCAGCCTCTCCAATTGCTCGGCTGACCTAGCTGGGAGGTTGCTTTTCACAGCTTCTCCTGTGTTTGTGCACACCAACTGTAAATGAGTCAGTGAATAACCAGAATAAATCAATTGAACTCCACGAATGTGCTAGAAGTCACAAGCCTGCCAGAAAACACGTAGGATAGAAGCATAGCAAGCAGATATCAGCGTGGACAGATTCCTCCCCCCGAGCAAAGGGTGACTACACTCCTTCCATGGCCGGTATTGTGGAACTGCTCCATTTAAATTTCACTTCGCTTGCATTTTCCAAAACTGTATCACGCTATTGAAAAGGGAGGTGAACTGCACTTGACCCTTGTGATAAACCGAATAACTTGAATTCCTACCCTGTCCTCTGATACCCAACACCCTGTAACACTGTTCGTCACGCACATGAGTAAAACGCGTCGGGAAATGTTTATGAAAAACCTACGATTACATTTAAACTCTGGCTTGGTTGCATGGGGTCTAGGGTTACCTCAGAAATGTTTATCAGGTTGTTTTCCTTGTTGGGCAAGAAGTTGAAGAGGATAGGACTGACTGACTGACTGACAGACAGACTGACAGAACGTGTGTTGGCCTTTGTGATTCCAGCAGGATGGGGTTTAACTGTTTGTGTTTGGCTTTAGAAATCAAAGAGAAGTAAATGGTTCCCGTGCTGAACTCCCAGGCAGCCTCCGTTGCTTCTCCAATTTCTGTTTCTTTGATAAATCAGTGCAGGGAGGAGACCAGGCTCCCCAGGGTCAACAATTTGGCAGATTCAGCTAAACCACTGCGGTTCTGTCCTCAGCTGGACCTGCGGGCTCAACATGCAGAAAGTGAGGCCACCTCCAGGGTGGAAACAGGGGAGTAAAAGCAGCTCAAGGCATCAGTGGTCCTTGCAAAGAAAAGTGAACTCAGGGGCCTTGGGATGGGGCTCTGCTAAGTCTTCAGGTATTGGAAAGAAATGGAACCCAGGATGTGGGGCCCTGCGATTCCTTGATTAGGTCCAAAACTGACTTCATGTTGGTACATCATATCCTGATGGGTTTCTTGCCTTACACTGAGGGTAATCACGATGGAGAAAAGGCTGTGGCATTCTTCCCGCGAGGCAAGATGTACTCTGCCCGGTCAGGGCACCTTGTGCTGCTCTGAGTAGGCAGAGAGGAGCAGCCCCACTATGGCACACAGAGCCTGCAGGGCCTCAAAGATGACGGGGTTCGAGAGTCTTTCAGGTGCCCAATCTGAGCTCCATCTCTTGGCAGATTATGGCCCATGGAGCTCCATTTCTTAGGGAACTCCAGCCCAGCGTCCGACAATCTTTCTTGGTCTTTTCAGACAAAATGTGGAAGAAACAAGAGTTTGGGGGAGACAGACATTGAAGGGTTAGCAAACCTGGGCTCTCCCGACCTGCCCAGCCAGGAAGAGCTGCACACGCGAAGGTAGCATTAGGAATCCCAGGTGGTTGGGACACCCTGCCCTTAGAGACTGATGGGCCACATGAAGCCCTAAACGCATGGGCAGGTGGGCACCTTCATGCCCTTCTCTGTTCGCCCTGTTTCCTTTCCAACAAAAGAAGAGTCTAGTGGCTCAGATCATTTCACGGAAGCAAGTGGTAGAGTATCTTTACAGTGTTTCAAAGGGGAAAGTTCCCGTGAGTTTTACAGAATATTACACAAAAACATGGCTTGCCTTTTTGATTTTTAAGACAGGAAATACACCGGGGCTGCCTGGTTTTGTCCCACTCGATGTGTATGGCATTTTCTTCACGCTTGTAAAAAAAAAAAATTAAAGAGCACCTAAACTGCTAAGGATACCAATTCGTGAGGGTCTGACCCAGGCTGCTTTTGTGTTTGCAGCACATTGGAAACTACATTTGATACCAGCGTCACCACAGAGATAAGTGGCCGCAGCATCCTCAGCTTGACTGGAAGGCCCACTCCTCTGTCCTGGAGACTTGGTCAGTCCAGCCCTCGGCTCCAAGCGGGAGATGCCCCCTCCATGGGCAACGGGTACCCACCTCGAGCCAATGCCAGCCGGTTCATCAGCACCGAGGCAGGCCGCTATGTGTACTCAGCGCCTCTCCGAAGGCAGCTGGCCTCGAGGGGCAGCAGCATCTGCCACGTGGATGTCTCGGACAAGGCAGGTGACGAGGTGGACCTGGAAACCATCAGCATGGACGCTCCAGGCTACATGAGCGATGGCGACGTTCTGAGCAAAAACATCCGGACTGATGACATCACAAGCGGGTGAGTGCCCGCCCGGTGCCTCCTCCTGGGAGGAGTCAGAAGTGGTTTGGCCCTGGCTTCCCTGCCTTGGGGAACAGTGGTCGGTGGGAGGCAGAAGAGCCTGGTGTGCAGGCGTGGCAGGTAACCCTGCTGTCCCACCGGCTGCAAAGGGACGCTGGGAAACAAAGCTGCCTGGCAGTTCCCTTCACCAAGCTCACACTGGGGATGGGTTCGCCTGGTCCTGCAGGCCCTGGCCCTCACCTGCCCTTAGACCGCATGCCCACCAGGATGCCTCACTGTGTCTGTCTTTGCTGTCCTCCAGCCTCCCTGAGCCTCCCCATTTCCCTGAGCTCTCTCTGGCCCCGTCTCTGCTCTCTGGTTCTGGACCTGGATTGTAGCCCACAGGTCCCTGGCTGGAGTAGTTACCTCCTGTCACTCAGCTGCTACCCTCACCATCAGATCTGAAGCAGTGTGTGTCCTGCGCCCTGCTTGAATCCTCTGCCTCACTCAGGCTCTTTTGAAAGAGCAATCACTGCTTCAGATTGTTCTGGTTCCCCACTCATCTTTTATGGTCTCCCCACCTGCTCTCTGCAGCAGCAGTAACACTGTGAAGCAGAGCAGGATTTTGCTTGTTCACCACGGAATCCTGCATGTGCTGTACATAACAGGAGCTTGTGAATATTGCTGGAGTGACAGACATGGGGGTGGATGAGTGGAGGAAGCCACAGAGCTGACCTCCCCATTTTCCGATCTGTTCGCTGCTTGGCGGTGGCTTCATGTAGGTCACTGCGTAGCCTTAAGATCCATCGCTTGACCCCACTTGCTGAGACTCCTTAACCTCTGCTGTGATTGGCCCAGAGGTTCTTCACTGTCGTGCTGCTACTGTTCTAGCCATGTAAATTACAGACAAGAACAATCAGGAATAGCGTCAGTGGCTCATTCCCGGGAACACCATGGTCAGGTGCCTCAGGGAGTGAGTTTAGCTCCAGTTGACTTCCCTGCCCTTGTCAAGCCCTGTGCCCACGCTTTACACGTATTGTGGTACCCTGCCCTTACGGCAGCCCCTGGAGGCACAGAAATCATAGCCCCCAACTTAGAGACCATGAAACCAAAGCCCAGGAAGGGGAGCTAATTAGCCCAGGGTTATGCAGCTGGTAGGAGGCAAAGCCCAGAGCTAAAGAGTTCTCCTGTACCCCGCACCACCTCATCCAGATTTTACTGCTGTGCTGAGATAGCCCAGCAACTGGTGTTCACTTCGAAATTACTTTAGTTTTGCATAGCTCTAGAAGCTTTTGTCTGTCTACCTGATTTTTTTTTTTTCAGTGCTGGAGACTGAACTCAGGGCCTTCACGCTGAGTTATATCCCCAGCCCTATTTTATTTCTGATTTTGAACCAGTGTCTTGTGAAGTTGCTAAATTTCCCAGGCTGTGGTTGAACTTTCAGTCTTCCTGCCCCCAGGGCTGCTCAGATTACAGGTGTGTGCCCCCATACCGTTTAAAATGGTATTAAAGTGTAGGCTCAGAGATGGTTTGGTTTTCAGCCTATCACTTAAAACCATCCTGGATAATAAAATCTAGGAAAACAGGAACCACCAAATGCTTACCTACAACAATTCCTGCTATCCAGAAGGTCTGGGAAGCTAAGGCACAGGCATGTTAAACTATTTGGTCAATTTAGAGCATATGTTTGTGTTTCTAGTCTGCCATAAACATAAAAAACAGTACTAATCACCTGTTGCTAAGGCTGAATTTCACATGTTAATCTTTCATTAGTGTTTAGAAGACTTTTGGTATCCAGAATGGCCTCAAGTTTAACATTACCAATATTCACTTTACTATACTAAAATGTGGTTATTTTCAGACCTTTTTATCCCATCGTAAAAAGCTTATTTTATTGTACCTGTTATTGTGAACTATCTGCATAGGTTAGGGAATTAATTTTTGCTGTAGCGCCGGTACTGACCACAAGGTGGAGACATTGGGGCACTGCAAGCTCCGGGTCAGCGCTGTCGGTGGCAGGAGAAGCGGTTGGTTTCTTTGGTAACCCAAACGCAAGCTCACAAACGCGTTTACATTTCAGCGTCTGCTTTGCAAAGCTTACATTTTTAGCGTGTGAGATAGCGCTTGGAGCAAGTGTAGATAAAAGCGCAGAAATGTAAACAAAGCACTCAATGACTGAAACTGGAGAAGGTTGGTCTGGTTTTTCTTCCCAGCCCTTTCACTGTAGAAATTTACCTTTCAAACGAGGAGGACCCAGAGGTCATTTAATGCTCCCTTGACTCAGAACATTCTAGAATTCTTGTCCAGCATGTCTCCAGCTGCAAGAAAGCCCCAGGTTCTGTCACAAGGGTAGATTACCAGTTTGCCTTTACCTGCTGACACCAAGGCAAAAAGTCACCACGTGTCTTTTTCCCCTACCCGCTTCTTTTCCTTTCTATCCACCACACAAGGTTGTAAATGTAAATACTGAAAATGGGCCACATGTTTTCAGGACATGGGATTACATTCATCATGGGGCGCTGGTCCACACGAACTCATCTGAGGGGCCTGGGGTACAGCTCAGCGGCACAGCACCTGCTTGGAAAGTGCAAGGTCTTGGGAAAAAAAGAACTTATTTTAGTTTTTTCATCACCTCCTCCTCCCTCCATCTCTTGATCTCCGGTTTGTGAAATACCTATCTCCCCACTTCCTATTATCTTCTTATTATTTTGCTTTAGTTTACTTATGCTTTGGATTTCTTATATATGAGAAACCGTGCCACATTTAAGCTTGTGGGTGTGGTTTATTTTACTTCACGTTAGGATCTCAAGATGCATCCCTTTTCCTACAAATACTAAAATTTACCCTTCTTTATAGTGGAGTGGTACTCCATCGTGCATTAGTACCACATTCTGTTTACCCAGTCTTCTGTTGATGGGCATATAGGCTGCTTCCAAGACTAAGCTACTATGAATTGGGCTGCTAGAAGCATGCATATGCATGCATCACTGTGCTATGGTGTCTGCCTCTCTCAGGAAGATACAGGAGGCTGTATTTGATGCTTGACAGCTGTCCTATATCTCATATCCACCTCCAACACTCGTGCCCTCGGAAACCAGGAAATGATGGAAGTTTGCGTGCGGATGTTCATTTGGCTTAGTGAAAACCTAGCCTTGATGTGTGTGTGATGTGTCAGTGAGGAAAACTGGTGCCGGAGCGACAGTGTGTACAGATGGGAACCCTAATATGGAAGGAAATGCTAGTTTTTGACAATGGCCCTGTCCCTCAGGTTGCTGTAGTGGATATTTTGTGATGTCTCTAGTTGGTGTTTGTTGCTGGCTATGTGTGCTGTGCACAAATGCGTGACCTGCAGTTCTCTCAAGGGTGGGGCTGCAATGATTTGATCACTGTGGCGTGCAGCTAGAACTTGATGGAAAAAACCTCTTTGTCTTCTGTGTGTTATATCAAAGCCCTGACTGCGCCAAGCTTATGCCAGGCTCATCAGCTTTACAAGTTTCATCTGAGCTCACCACTTCTTTTCATTAGGTTGGTAAATTGGGCATGGGCTGTGGTGGAAAATAAATTATAAGGACAGGCAAATATGTCTCTTATTATTAAGTTTTGATCTCTGAATTCAATCCTATGCTCACAGGCTAAGAACTCAAGAGTACCATATGGTACAGAATAAAATTAAAGGGGTAGACATAGTATCCATGTGTTTTGAAGAGTTTTTTTCTTTTCAAAGGAAGCACTGAGTTGTGTAATCTTCCAATATATAAATATCCATCCCTTCAAGGGAAAAAGATGATCATTTAAATGTAACTTCAGAAGCTGTCTTCAAGAACCTTTGAAGACATCTGTGGCCTTTGGGGACAGATTCAAACTCGTTAGCTGAATAGGGAAGGCTCGTAATACTCCTTCCTCACCCGACTTTTCTGACTTATGCAGCCATAGGCTCCCTCACCTCTGCCCCAGGTCACCTGCCTGTCCCAAAGTTAGAGCCTTGTGCCTGGGGACAGGCTGCCATCACTCCGGAATTCCTGTCCATGGAACCTGACCCACCCACTGCACACCACAAGTCCATGGTGTCCTCCTGGACCCTGTCTTGGACATAGCTGGTCATCTTGGTTTACACAGAAACAGTGCCTGAGCCTTTCGTGTGCTGTGGGAAGGTCTGAGAGAGTGACTGGTGTCAGACAGTATGATCTTAAGGACCGGCACATGTGACAGTCAGTGGCTGTGCTGGGGGAGCTGGAACAAGTTCTTAACCCCTTTGAGAGTTAGAGCTAGAAGTTGGCACTTTGCAGAGAATCTAGGATGCGTGTGTGTGTGTGTGTGTGTGTGTGTGTGTGTGTGTGTCTGATTGTCTGTCTCTCTGTCTCTTTTCTTCACTAGGGACTGTTAGAAAGCAGACTGTGCTCGTTAGTTTTCCAAGCCCAGAGTGGAAGGCAGAGTAGGTATTTATATCCTTGGTGCCAGTCCTGGCAGAAACCTTGGACTTACAACACTTCCCACCACCACTGCCAGCTGTGTGGCTCAGTACTTCTATTTATAGAACACTGGGAGGACACCAACTCAGCCTATGGTGTCCCTCTAGTGGCCAGAGCAGGCTATGATGCTGTGGTTTCCAAAGCTGTTGATTACAAAAGCCTTTGTGTTAGGCTAAGTCTCTCTGCTAGTGTAGCTCAGGAGTAAGGACTTTGAATTTAAATGCCTCTCCAACAGCCTCCTGTGCATGTGCAGGAGAAGGTGGGGTGAGGCGAGAAAAAGTGGGGTGAGCAGAGAGAAAGTGGGGTGAGCAGTCTGGTCTTTAGCTATTGACAGCCTAATTCTGTTGGTCCATCAGCAGCTGTGGGCACAGACAGATCGACTCCTGATCCCATCTCTGCTGAATGATCTGTAGCTTGATGCGTAGGTCAGAGTGTGACTCAGGCATCTCAGGCTGCTGTCATTAAACACCCTCTGCTTCAGGGGCTTAAACAGCAGAGTTGAGGCAGCCTGATTACCTCCCAGAGGCCCCTCCTGCAAACAGCAGGGAACTG